ACAGTCATTTTACCTGAAAGGAAGAGGAAAATGGTGAATTCAACTTCAAAGATCAAATTCATCCTTCCACCATAAATCAAGTGAAAGGGCAAAGGGAGAAACGGGAAGCCCGGAACAATAAGCCCCCTCCTCGAGGAGGCTCATCCAAGAAGCAACCCCGACGATGACTCCACACGGTGAGCCTCCTCGACAGCGGTTCGTCCCTAATTGGGAGGACCCCGACACGTGCGGGGAGACCCTGAGTGAAACCTCCTCGACAGCGATGTTCCCCAATTGGGAGGACCCCGACACGTGCGGGGAGACCTTGAGTGAAACCTCCCCGACAGAGATGTCCCACAATTGGGAGGACCCCGACACGCGCGGGGAAACCCTGAGTGAAACCTCCCCGCGATGGCCGCACACTTACGAGGAGTAATGCTCCCCGAGGCGTTCATCCTAGCTCCCTGAGACCTTCATCACAGGTCCCCGAGGCATTCATCAACAACTTTATAAAGATCCTATAATCTTCATGAACTTCCTGACGTCCTCGCCGAAAAATTCAAACCTTGGCCAGAAACTTCATAAGACAGACCGGGAAATTCATAGCTTTTTCGAAAATTTCATGAGTTATCGGAAAACTCATAACGCTACAGGAAGGAAACGAAAACTTACTTGTAGGAGGAGGATATGGACGACGGAGAGTGGTGACGGCAAAGGAGACGGCGACGACGACAAAAAGAGCTTGGAGAAGATTCTAGTAGATATGAAGGGGAAATGTGCAAATGAGAGGAACTTTTCCCCTATTTATAAGCCTGACACGGGAAGCGAGGCGGCACTAAGCACTCAAGTTCCCCTACGCGTAGCCGCCCTAGACATTAATTACACATGACATGTGGCTCTAGGGGACACCACGCGCATCCCCTCGGCTTCCCTTCGTGCTCGAAGATTAAGCACGCCCGTCCATTTTCCATCTCCTTGCGGCCTACTGTCTTGTCGGGCATCTATCGCTCCAGGCCGCGCGCTCAGCCCGAATCTGTATGCCAGACGAATCCTCGACACTCTAACTAGCTCTTAAATCATTACTCCTCCACTTATGAGCAACGAATTTGGGGACTCATGTTCTGGACTGGGCCGATACCTGCCCCTCAATCGGGCAGGCCCAACCCAATACTTCGTTAGGGAGGCCCAACAAGGCCCAATTCCCCCTTTGTCGGACACGCGTAATACTGCCGTCGAGCAGGCCACTACCTACCACGGTGAGCTCCCACACGTCTCCCCCACGTTCTCCACGTGCCCCCCACGCGAGAATACGTCATCAGACAACTATCCACTTCCGAAAGATCTGGTCAGCCCACCTTCTGAAGATCTCGGGGCAGTTGATCCAGGACAAAGACCATGAGCCAGTCTTTCCTACGCCGCGTAAGCCCTGGCAATTACTTGGGTTGGGCCTGACAATCCGGCCTAATGCAATGTAACCGTTGACCCTACGCTGGGGGCACATTATAAATACCCTCTTTTACTAGAGGGTCAGGTATTCCATTCTACACACCTAATCTCTTTGTATTTGTTTTTATTAAAACTCCGTTACTCACTTAGACATCGGAGTACCTTGCAAGTACACCCCTTCCTCTTCATCAACACCAATGAATGCAGGAACTCACGACGCGTGGCAGACCGCTGATTTCTTTCTGATCAGGTAAGGTTACTACTAATCCATGTTTCTTTTCTCTTATCTCTATTTTATTCAATCCTGTTTTCTCTTATATCTATTTTATTCGATCTCATTTCAATTATGTATTAATGAACTTTTTTTTTCCAGTGATACATGTGAAAATTTGAGTATCATTTTCCCTTAATTTTGGCAACATCATTAATCAAATGCACATTGTATATTGTATGTTCCCTTGTCCCAATTTTCAATATATATTTGTTTCATTTTTCATTTTTGGTGTCAAATTCATTTATGAGGACTATAAACTGCAAACTTTTATTATTCTTTGTCAATACGAAGGAATAAGGGACGAATTTTATACATTAGCAATATCAATATGTAGTTTATGTTGTCCTTTTGTTTGTGTAGTCTTTCTCCTTCAAATTTTGAATTGGGATAGAGACATGTTATGTTTTTATGGTTGTTCTTAAATATATTTTTTCTTTTTCTGTTTTAAAAGTAGAGTTTTTTTGGTCAAGTTTCATAGATTGTTCACATGTTCAATTTGTTTATTGCTAAGTATGTATCTCAACTCAAAAACCAATGTACTTCATTGCATAATTTTAAATCCTGTATGAAACAAGATTACTTGTAGTTCTGAATCCATATATCTCTCCATAATATCACAGAGTATGCCTAATTTGTACAGTTTATATTGGCGTGAAACACTCAAGTAAACACATTTAATTTGAAAATAGTTGTAGGTATTTGTTAATAAATCATTAAAAAAAACATCAAGATAATAATGGAGAAACAAGAACTCTGTAAATTGAAAAATCTCAAAGGAATGTAAAGAAAATTGTAGATCAATGAGAGAAAATAAATTAAACAAGAGAAAAGGAATATATAAACATGTGCAAATAAATTAAAGGAAACTTCATACATGAGAACAGCAGTGAAACTAATAATAGAAACTTAGTTTGTAACATATCGATGCCCGATGACAACAACAAGGAGACAAAGGCCGGAATAGAAAGTCAGGGGTTGCCGGAATAGAAAGACAACGGTTGACGACATGAACAAGGGGACGAAAGCCGGAGTAAAACAATTGAAAGTTACTCTAAAGTTCCCATGCAAACATTAGATAATCTGGACCGTCAGAGGTGTCGGTGTTATAGAGCTACTAAAAGGTGTGTGAAATAGCGTGTGAAATAGCTTTTGGTATTATGTAGTGCAACATATAAATCAATTATCTACCAATTGCTATTCTTGTCTATATATATGTTCAACTACCTGATAAACTTGATAGTACTTGCAGTGCATCCATATCAAATGTTGGTACTTGCAAAAATACCCTGCTACATCAAAGAAATGGTGTAATATTTGGTGACCTTAAGTAAAGGCTCAAGAGACTATTACAGTTTTACTAGCATATAAATTGTTCCTCTAAAATCTAAAAGTTGTGAACAGAAATCAATGGTTGTATAAGGGAAGAATTGCCAATATTTGTATTGCTGCTACAACCCCTGAAATCACCTCTCTCTGATACCACAAACCAGCATATTCTGTCATTATAATATACAGTTAAAATGAGTTCCAAAGTAACTAATCATAAACCCCTTTTAAGAATAACTCATTACAAAACTATATGATAGCAAACTCTAACAAACTAACTAATTTATAACAGGATTCATATTCTGTAACATGAAATGACCCCATGCTAATGAAAGATGCAGATTGATCAATCAAGTTTGATTTACGAACCGAGTACAAGATACTATAAGCCTCATTAATGGAATTGAGCTGCCAAGCTTTGAGATTTTTATCAAGAAATGTTGCAATTGTCCCAAACTGCACAATACCAAATAAGCAAGTAAAAGCAGAAACAGTGAGTTGTGCTGAATAATTTTTCAGAACAAATGCTTGCATCATAATCCAACCAGACCAACTCCAACAGTGACCAACTCAAATAGCAAAATATTTTTGAAGACAACTAAAGGTAAACTTTCATCGATGAATTTCCAACAGAATTCTAAGTCAATCATCATGGATTTGACTCCTCCTAAATGCAAGACACTTCAGAAAATAAAATGCAATTGGAATTTTGCTATTCAATTACTACAAAGTCCAGTGACACCAAAATTGGAAAAGTACTTGTGTTGCACACACGACATAAACACCCGCATGATACAGTTAAATACAAATCGAGGGAATATTCTGACTTTTTTTCAATAGCAAGGTATGTTTGGGATACTATATTGGAAAAATTTAACCAGACTGAAAATAATCCCTCCCCCCAGCAAAAACTGAAATAAACAAAAAGAATTAAAAATAATCCCTCCCCTCCATTCTACTTAACCAAACAGGCCCTAAAGATAAGTTGTATCTTTTTGTTTTCCGCAAGACAAAGTGAAGCAGGACATAAAAGAGTTCACCATGCATTGCAAAGATAGATATACGGTGAACAGACACAACACATGTTTGAGCAGTTCTTCTATGATTTCCTGAGCCTGTCTTAGCCTTATTTCAACAATATTAGCAGGTTAATCAACCTCAATCAAAATGTGTAGAGGGTTCATTGAGATGCTCGTAGTCTGTTCATCCTCACAATTTTTCTTGCGTAAGATTGAAAGATTAATAATAATCTCAGTTGATATCAGAAGTAAAATTAAGTCTACAAATCAAATGCAAAATAATTCATATCCTTTAGAGATTTTGCAAATAGGGCCAGGAAACTTAGATTTTTATTCATTACCTTGTATGGATCTTTTATCAATCCATTGCCTCTAATATGACTGCGGCAACCAGTACTATCTTCTACCAGTTTCAAAGAATATGCGTTTAATTCTGAATCCTTAACCACATGTGCCAACCTAGTTATCCAATATCCTAACAAATATCCTTAAAAATCTAAAATTTTATAAATAAAAATACTCAATAATTGATGTTAAACATAATATCATTATCTAATACCATTTAGATAATACTCCAAACAAGATGTATGATACTTTTACAATGATACTTGGTCTAGAAAGTAACAACTAAATCCTAATGGTTTATCAGAAACAAAAACAGCAACATAATAGGCAAAACATTTTCATTTGGGCAGGTAGTGGGAGTCCAAAATCCAATACATGGTCATATTAATTTGGGATAGTTATTGTTTCAGGTGGTTTGTTTCAGCAACAGAACAGCAGCACCTACTACAAACTTGTTCCAAATCTCCCATCTCAATCTACCCTTCATACTTATTTGTTGCTGCAAGAGTTTGTAAGTAGAAAACCTACACAAAACTCAGAAAACTAAAAAGCCCTCACCTCTACAACAACTTTGGTCAAATCAAGAGACAAAACCAGACCGAGTAATGCTATCATTTTGATGTTATTTGGTTGTTATTCCCCAACAACCCTTCCCTTTCCACCTTCTCCTTCTCACCTAACCCAACCTTCACATGTGATGGCTTCTCTTCAGCAGCACTCTGCGACCCTGTCAACCTTGCCAACATCACAAAAGTCATTCCCCCAAGAACATTGTTCGTGCACCTGAGAGCCACAACTGAGGTCTTGAATACCAAGGGATTAAGCACTTTCTCCAACAAGAACTCAACACCATTCAGAGTTTGGTACCTGAGGTTGCTGCTGAAACCCATATGAGCCGCCCAAGTGAGACCATTCAGCAATGTAGGTGGAGGCTTATTTGGGGATTCAAAGCTGGGATCCATTTTCTTCCTCATACTGACCAACCCATTTGAAATTGCAGTTCCAACAAGACCAGCACCGAGCCCAACAACAGCAAAAATGGTTCCTTTATATACCAAGGTTCCAAACCTATCCAACAAACTATACGCACCAGGTTCAAACATGTGACTCTTAGGACAAGATGCAAAAATTGCAGGCACTTTGACTGAAGCAGATCCTAATGTTGGTGCTAATAGATACATGAGTGTAAAATTGAGAATAGCCCCAACGACAAGAGTTGAAAAAACAAAGTCAAGTTCATTCAACCCAAAATTAGGCCTTGTAGCCATGTCACCTAAAACCGCAGAAGTGACACCAACCAACTCTTCACTCAGAACCTTGAAAGGAAACTGTGGATCAGCAGCCACCCGTGATCTCCAACCATTCAGAAACAGACCCAAAATCCCAAACGATGAATCATTTGATTTCCCCTCATCACCTCCCCAACTTCCATCTCCACCACCACCACCCCGACCAATCCCACCGCCGCCAACCCCTCCGGTGAAGTTAAATTTCAATCTATGAGGCAAATGGGTTGGGTTGGTAACATTTATAGAACGGTTATGAAACTGAGGATACGATGATAATGGTGATGGAAATGCAACTGCATGGCTGTGACCAAAGGGAGAATTAAAATGCAGAAGAGCCATAGTTGCCATTTGATCTGTGACAAAGCAAACATCAAAGTCAGAAACTTTGAAATGAAACCAATAAATCCTACATCATGCATGCATTCATGAATCATAACCACAGCAAGAAATCATTATTCATTCATAATCACATAAAAAAACAAATTTTTGAAAAAGGGTAGCATGATGGATGTAGTGTTTACCTAAACCTAGATGGTGGAAAGAGTGAGAGAAGAGCAAGCTAAAACTTCAAAATGAAAGTAAAAAGAAAAAGAAAAAACCCTACAAAATTAATGAAGATTATGAGAAGTTGGAAGTTGAGAGTGAAACCCTAGGCAATTGAATATTATATAGTAGGGTTTAGGAAATCAGCATGGTCTTCATCTATTGGTGGTAGTATGATGATGAAAAATGCGACCAACACAGACCACAAAAACTTGAAGCCTTTGGATTCATCTGATCCTTACATAGCTACGGTGTATCATCCGTAGCAGATTCATTCTCCCCCATGAAAATAGAAATGGAATAAAAAAATGTGAACAAATGGAATAAGATCACATAGGCAATCTTTGTCTAACCATTTTAAGTAAGTGGAAGTAACTAAGAAAAGAGAACTTACAAGAACAGCGGCGGTGGTGGACGGCGTCGACGAGCACTGGTCGTTCCGTCGTCGTTCGTGGTGGTGGACGGCGTAATGGCGCTGATGGGAAAACTGAGACGAGAAAGAAGAAGTCGTGGTTGCCGTTCGTGGTGGTGGTAGCGGAGGGTGTGAAATGGAACGGTAGAGAAACAAGAAAATGCAGGGGCAGCAGCACTGAGTTGGAAAGAAGAATTTGTTCACAGCAGAGACAAGAGAAAAGTAAATTTAAGGTTGAATGGCAAACTTGTAATTCTAAAATTTAAGTTGGCCAATTTAGTAGTTTGACAATTACTATGAGACCTCAAAAACATGTATAAATTTATTTACTACAATATAAAATGTGTTTAGATAAAGGATGGCAAAATGAATTGTCTTTGTCTGCTCTATTCAAAGTCCAAAAAAAAGAGAAGGGCGGACATGCGTGTCAAGTTGAAATGAACATAAAAATCAAGTTCGTCCTGTCAAAGTGGTGGGTTGGCGGGCAGCGGGTTTGTCTGCCTTCTTTTTTTCTTCAGTTTTTTAAAAAATTAAAAGATTTTTTTTATATATATTTTTTAATCAGAAAACATCAAACCAACAATTAAAAAGCATAAATGGCAAAAGACTAAAATCATAAAGCATTAACCTTCAACCAAAAATAGAACTTTCACAAATATTCACCTAAAATAGAAGTATAACCATCAATAAGTATTAACTTCCAAGTCCAACCAACCAAAATAAATATTAAGTTCAACCATCAAGCAACCATTAACTTTTAACCATCAAGCAACCAAAATTTAAGTTCAAACAACCAAAATCATAATAAATATTAAGTATAACATTAAAGTTTATTATCAACCAACCAAAACCATAATAACATTGTCTAACAAAATAAAAGTGAAGTATTCTAAAATTTAAATCCTAATCATCAGGGTCAAGAATATTATATGCACTCTTAGAACAAGTTGGGTCATCTTTTTCATCTTTATTGTCATCATCATTTCCATCTACATTACAAAACAATGAAATACATTCAATGGTTACTAAGCAATATATTAAAAAAATATTAGATAACTGATCTTACCTGATCATAAAGGAATCAGCGGTATGCCACGCGTCGTGAGCTCATGCGTTCACCAGTGTTGTAGAGGAGGAAGCGGTGTACCTGCAAGGTACTCTGATCCTTAAGTGAGTAACGGAGTTAGAAAGCGCAAGTACAGAGAGAATAGGTGTAGATGATAGAATACCTGACTCTCTAGTGAAATAGGGTGTTTATAATGTGCCCCCAGCGCAGGGCCAACGGTTACATTGCATTGGTCCAAATTGCTAAGCCCAACACAAGTAACTGTCAGGGTTTACGTGGCATAGCGAAGACCAGAACGTGGTCTTCGCCCTGAATCAACTGCCTTGTGATCTTCGGAAGGTGGGCTGACCAACTCTTTTGGAAGTGGATAGTTGTCTGATGACGTGTCCCCGCGTGAGAGACACGTGAAGAACATTAGGAAAGCGTGTGGGCTCACCTCACGCCAAGGAGTGGTCTGCCCGACTAAGGGGCCTTGTTGAGAGGCGTGTCCGACATGAGAGGATTGGGCCTTGTTAAGCCTCCCAAACGTAGTATTGGGTTGGGCTTGCCCAACTGAGGGACAGGTCTTGGTCCAGTCCAGAACAAGAGCCCCCTAAGTCATTGCTCCTAAGTGTAGGAGTAGTGACTTAAGAGCAAGTTAGGGTGTCGAGGACTAGTTTAAAGGATGGTGGCTTGCCCGACAAACCGAGTTGAGGGTTGTGTGCACGGCCAGGAGTAGCAGATGATCGACGAGGCAGTATGTCGGGGAGGAGGAAAATCAAATGCACGAGGAGAAGCTTGAGGGACACTCGTGGTGTCCCCTAGTGCAACGTGTCGCGTGCAATTAAAGCCTGGGAGCAGCTACGCGTAGGGGCACTTAAGTGCCTAATTTTGCCTCGCTTCCCGTGCCAGGCTTATAAATAGGGGGAGGCCTTCCTCATTTGCACATTCGCTCTTCCTATCCGCCGGAATCTTCTTCAAGTTCTTCTTACCGTCGCGTCGCTTTCGTTGCTGTCACTGATCTCTGTCGTCTAGGTCCACCTCCCACAAGTAAGTTTCAATTCCTTTCTGTAGTATGATGAATTTTTTGGCGAATCTCATGAGCTTTCCGGGAAAACTATGAATTTTCCGACGGGCAGCATGAAATTTCCAGTCGAAGCATGAAGTTTTCAGCGAGGACGCTGGGAAGTTCATGAGGATTCCGGGATCTTCATGAAGTTGTTGATGAATGCCCCAGGGACATGCGATGAAGGTCCCGAAGAGCTAGGATGCACGCCTCGAGGAACTTTTCTCCTTGTCAGTGTGTGGCTATCGTAGGGAAGTTTTACTCAAGGTCTCCCTGCGTGTGTCGGGGTCATCCTGATTGAGAGCCTCGCTGACGGGGTGGTTTGTCGCGTAGAGTCGTCGTCGAGGTTTCTTCTTGGAAGAGCCTCCGCCAAGGAGGGGCCTTGGTTTCGAGCTTCCTCGTCCCTCCCTTCGCTCTTTCACTTGATTTATGGTGGAAGGGTGAATTTGATCTTGAAGTCGAACTCACTGTTTTCCTCTGCTTTTCAGGTAAAATGGTTGTATGGATTGAGGGTATCATCTATATTGACGACGAGTTCGAGCCCGACAACCCCGTTGAGGTCGAAGAAGTTGAACCAGTTTGCACGCCCGTGGACTGGGTCGGGCAGGAACTCTCACTATAGCTTCGCGCTTCACCTTCGATGACACCGACGCTTTTGCCACTGTCGAGGACCGCCTAGAAGGTTCCTCTGCGAGCTGGATGGTCTATAAACCCAAGGAAAGACATTACATCTGCTCGAGTTTTAGGGAGAAGGGGTTCTCCATGTACGAGTTTGCATTTCGTGAAGCGGGGATCCGTCTCCCCTTTAGCAATTTTCAAGGGAGAGTGTTTCGGTGGCTCCGCATGTCCCCCTCGCAACTGCACCCAAATGTCATAGCGTTCGTGCGGGCATTTGAGCTCGTCTGCGAATATCTTCGGATTGGGGCCTCTTTTCCCTGTTCTTTTGCACCTTCCACCTTCAGCGTCAATCTTCCGAAGGTAGGTACAATTGGGTATCTTTGAAGCAACCAAGGAAGTTGTTCCGAGCGTACCAAGATTTTGTCCGCTCCTTCAGGATAAGTTTTACATCGTGAAGCATGTGTCACACACGACTGTCGACTCGTTGTACGACCTTACAATCATGGAAGAGAATGGGAAGCCCGAGGAGACCTTATTGTCGAAATTTCCACTTGAGTGGGTCGAGGACCACTTCCTCCTGGGCACAGATAGCTGTATTGTGAAGCGTGTCGTCCTGGATGCTGACGACCAGCTGGTTTACCAAAAAATTGTCGACTTTGTATTCGACTTTACCCCTGCAAAGTGTGTCACGGAGGATGGGAATATCATCCTCGACGAGCGCGGGGAGATCTGTCGTGAGGCTCGACTGATCAATACCAAGGCTCTCCTTTAGTGCGGGTCCCGCGAGGAGGCCTTGAGGTTTTTAGGTAATGACACTTTCTTTTGGCGGGATGCCTGCCCATTTTCTTTTGTTACTGAATTTGTTTCTCTTTTTTATTGCTGCATGCCAGATGTCGAACATGCAATAACACATTTTGAAGCTCGCGGCAACAAAGGGCGGGAAGAAAAGCAAGATTAGGGTTTCCCAAGTCTAGCAGATGGCCAGGCCCGACCAAGGGGCCGGTGGTTCTTCCTCTCCTCAATGCATCCAGTCCCCTCCCGCTCATGATGCATCCTCCAAGAGGCGGTGGGTCAAGGAACCAGTGCTTGTCGATCTTGAGGAAAGCGCGCCAATGGAGAAGTTTGTGTTGCCTCCTTACCACACCCAGAGGGACTTCTTCTCCAGGAACCACTCTCCGTCGGTGTTGGAGGTCGACACTAAGGCGATCATTGGAATCACTCGAACAGCCCCGAGATAATTATTGATCGAGGATATGACCGCCATGATGAGGATCTCTTCGACGACCCTGGTCTTGAACAACAAAACAAGCCCTACCTCCGAGCTGAAGAAGCTGCGGGACAAGAACGTCGTCCTTGAGGCGGAGAGCGACTTGTAGGAGGCTCAAACGGGGTATGAGAATCACATGTGTCTCCTTCACGAGATGAACGAGATGAGGAAATAGTTGAAGGGAACAACGAGGAACGTGATCGACTGCTGACCAAGGTGGTCGAGCTAGAGAATAAAGTCAATCCTGCTAAAGATGAGTCTGCCGAGGAGAGGCTCATGGAGTCTCGGGCTAATCTGGTGTCGAAGATCCGGGAGCTCGAGCAGGATTTCCTAGGGGCCCTCGAGGTGGGTTTCAATTGTGTCGTGGCACAGCTCCAAATTATGAACCTGGACGTCC